AAACTGGCTGGTGAGATCGGTCTATTCACCACCCCCCCCCCCACATATTGTGGACAACTTCTGTGCGAAAACCATTTCAAAATCGCACGCAGCTCCGAGCATTGAAAAGATGTTTCCAGGCCACGAACCACTCGTGTGTGTTTGTCAAGCAAAACTCGCATAGTACACTCTTATTATACAATTTTATTATACAGTTTTATTACATACAATTTTGTTAGAATATATTTGTGATCCACGTGCAGTAGAGCAAATATTTTTGTTTACTTCTTAAAAGTTAAAATACAAAAGACCAATCAATAAATATGTAACAAAAAATAGAACACGCGAAGATCGTCTAAACCTATTTTTGAAAAACGAACATATTTACTGCTCAGAAACGGCAAAAACGGTCCTTGTTTTAAGACTTTTTTCCTGTTTTTCTTTTTTCTTTCTTCTTGAAAATGATGCAGAACTAAATTTTCTAGTCTAAATATCGACGCTTTTTTTTCCCCTTTTTCACAAATGGTGTTGTTTTTATAAGCCTGGAACGAAGGTCAATTGTTGCCTTCGCTCGTGCAGTTTTCGGCTGTACTTTCTAGCTTTTTTTTTTTTAGATCTGCTCTAATGGAAAGTCAAGTATGCTATATTCGAACAGTAAAAAAAAAAAAAAAAAAATTCTAGTAACAGATCATTATTTGTGTTCTTGAACTTATATCATTGACAGCAAGAGTAGAAGTTCACACTTGGCAATTTCTGTTCAATTTTTTATATTAATAAAAGGGAAGGCAGTGGCTTGTGAAGCGAATACGCGCATGCCATAGAGTGTCGTCTTGTGACAATTTTCACTACAGATCGGAACAGGATGGTCGCATACCAGCCAAATTATGAACTCGCCCATTGAGCCACACTAATATTGTTCTAGTGTCAATTTGCAATCCTATACTTAGTCTCAGCTTAGGTCCGAGCGCGGCTTATGTTATGAGCCGAAGGACCAATCATACAGCGCAAAAAAAGCGCAGCGTCATAGCGTGCTTTCTGCTCTTTATAGAACTAGCCGGCAGAGGGGCACGCACAGAGAGACGGCGAATACCGGCTGGTCCTATCAACTGCAGAAAGCACACCATGACGTTGTGCCTCTTTCGCTGTTTGATTGACCCTTCGGCTCATAACATCGGTCGCGCTCGGATCTAAGCTGAAACGAAGTATAGTTACCAAAGCTCGTGTAAATTAACTCTTGAACTCGCTCGATCACGTTCAAATTTTCCGCGCGATTGTGATTGAACTCATTACGTGATGGTGAGTAGCTTCCTAACGTCTAATAAATGTATGCTGTAGTGGTGAATAACTTCGTGAGCTTTGATGAGTTAATGGCTCCGTGAACCTTGTGAGTTCGTGACGTGGTAACGCGGTAGTGAGTTGCTATACCAGGAGAATATTCGTTCCGTTGAAGTACTCCAAAGTGAGATACATCCTATCTTTTAGAATTGGCGGTTTGTCACAATGCGAAACAAGTGTCAGAAAACTTATTACAGTGCACTTTAACCACAACGCTCAAACGAGAATAGTCGCCTAATATGTTCTCACATACTGGCATGTGTAGGTGTTATTTGTATATATAACAAAATTATATTCGTCTCATGGCAGAACGTCATTGTTACCTGGATCCATGACGATTGTTTGATTACCCTGCCGATTAGTTGACTAATGCTTTAATTTCGTTCAATATTTTTAACCGTTTCATCCGTTGGTTTATAATGAATCAAAGCAAAACAAGAAAAATATTCTACGCTTTCATCATTTCGCGGTTTTGGATTGGACAAAACGATGCACATATATTCACAGTCTTTGAGTAGCCACGCGGAACAATTGTGTTGCTTGTTTCTTTAGACAACCTTGAATTCGGTACGCCTCAACGGCTGACCTCTCTCTTAGCTGTAGATGAGGAATCTATCTAGTGTCATACAACCGCTCAAGGGTTATGCGAACTGGCGCCTTGGCCGTGGTGACCTCACTCCTCGCCACGACACGTATTTGGAAGCTGTGGCGTCCCGCCCCGTGACATGTCCCAGGACGAAACGACTCGATGCTGCCAATCACATTCACGAGCGGTGTGAAGAGAAAGTCAAGGCTTTGTTCGGCAAGGCTTGCGTTTAGTCGGGCGTCGTGGCGGGATGACCAGCCCGACTGCCGGATGCAGCGAAACGCACCGAGCGTGTTGACAAAGGATGCACCAGTCACATCGCTATCGGAGTCACCACGGCTGGCAACTGCTCGCGGTAGTGTTCAAACAGAAAAACGGAAAGGATGTCCAGTTTTTTTTACGGTTCGGTGAGCCCTTCACGGACCACGTCGCCAGTTTGCACACCCTTTAATTGGGGTCTTTGTTGTGCACCACGCCGTAGCGGTTACACGGACATGTGCCGGTACGAAACTCATCCAGGTCGAAACAGGCAGGGGGCGGCGGGGATCAAACCCATGAGTTTCTGCAGCGCAAGCTTTTGCTCCACACACCAAGCAGGAACGCGTTAGCCCACTCGGCCACCAATCCCCCCTCAGTCAAGTGATTTGGTCACGGATTTTATGCACCAAAGTGACCAAGTTCGTTACCAGCGACGTTCTCGTTCCTCTCAAAGGCGACGGGTGAGCCGAGCCTCACGTCGTTGAGTAGCGGTGGTCCAATAGAAAAGCCTGGCAGCTTAGTTCGACAATTGACTGGATATTCACGGGGTCATTTTTGAACATTCCGCCGACTGAGGCTTCCGTCAAACTAGCGAGAACACAGAGGGAAAGCAACACGTATATGTCATTCGCGGCCTATCCTCGGCTCAAGCCACGTAATACCCGCGGATCTAAGAATAGTTGAAACTGCGCGCAGCAACGGCGGCGGATTAGTCCAAGAGAATCAAAAGCACAAATTAAGTTTAGTTTTCTTTTTTGTTTTATTTTACTCGGGAATTCATGGAAAACAGTTATTCACGTATTCTATGTATCCTCATCAGCAGTTGGTTGGGTCGAGAACACTTGAACAACTTTAAATTTAAACTGATAAGTCCCTTGAGAGGGAATCGTCGCGGTAATCCTTCACAGCATTTACTTCCTTCAGTATTATATATTTCGCAAACGTGGATGAGTACACCAATATGAAGGGCAAACTTTAGGTGAAATTTAAATTGAATGTAATCTGCAGGGGGCAGCATACGCAAACCGCAGGAAGGAGGGAAGATTATATTTGACAAGGTTACTTCAACGCCAAGCAAGTGCACTCTTAGAAAAAAAGGTCAGTATAGTCCTCCCTAAAGGGGGGAACGTTCTTGACACATGTGTTCCTTCAGAAGGGGAGAAACTTAAGTCCCTAAAGCAGGGGAGCAAAAGTTTCTCCGTCGCCTGCATCTCAATATGGCGGCCACGAATCGAGAAAATCGAGCTCAATAAGGCTTAACGAGAACACTAAGTCTATTGTGCGGAGCGAGAGGAGCAGCAAATAAAAACGTAACACGAGCTTTCCGCGAACTGTATTTATTTCCGAAGCCGGCTTCCCTCTGCAGGTAAAGAAACTTACGTTTTGAAAGCATACAGTCACTCAGTCTTCTCATTGTCAGCACTGCGACGTTAAACGGAGACAACCGGCACCCAGTTCGCACACTTTATGTCTTACCTTTGCTATTCCTCGAGCCACAGTTCCTTCGTCAACCGTTGCGTCAAGCGCACATGACGGAGGAGTGGTACATCATTCGCCCGCAAAACCAAAAGCTGCTCTTAAAAAAAGCAAATCCGAAGCAGCCTCTTGGCTCATTTCCGCACGGTAACACGAAATTATGGCGTAGCCGCGTATAAACGTCCACACTCCGGGAACCTAAAATTAAGCTTATGACGGGGTAACGTAAGGGTGAGTGACAACACCGCGAAAGTATTTCGCTCTGTTAAAGCACTCCCAAGGTGAGAAATTTCCCAACTTTTTGAATCGTCGGTTTTCCAGAATGCGATGAAATGACAGTGCAGTCACGGACAACTCGAACCATAACGCTGCAATAAGAATAGTCGTCTAATTTTTTTCACGGATACTGGCAAGGAGGTATTATTTATACAAAACAAAACAATGAAGGTGTGGAAGCACCATTTCACGGACGACGGCATCGTTCAAAGGACAACGACAATGGTACTCGCCGCGCGGCGACCACGCTTTTGCCACATACACATTCGCAAAAATGCAGATCCATCAAAGTTATTCGACTGCCAGCGTGATTTATCGAGGCACACAGAAGGTAGAACCACACGCCAAATGGAATGCATATGTAGTAGTCACTGGCAGGCGATGAAGCTAGCGCAAGCTCCGCCCCTCAGGCGCCACGCCCCCCCCCCCCCCCCCCCCCCCCAGTAGCATTTCAGCTTACTCAGCTTAAAAGTATTTCTGGAAACAAATAATAAAAAAACTAGGTATATTAACTAAATGCGGATCTTTCATTATCTTTAATCGAGATACCCACCCCGACACACAAATTTGGTTTAAAATGAGACCACCCCTCCACGAATGCAATGTCAATATTCCACCTCAGCACAATTTTTCTAATGTGGTCACATTAAGTCCAACAGTTTGTAAATCAAAGCAGCAGTCTTTTATACTCTAATATATGACTTATTTTTTATCATTAATATATATGCGTACAGGTGGTTATACATGCTTCAGATGCATCGGGGTTTAAGCAGACGTACTATATGCGCTGGCACGTGGGAGCTTTCACCACCCACATTTTTAGGCTTATTTGTTGATTAAAGTGCACTCTGCATCTGGCATAAATCATTCAGAGATAGTAACCATTGGTAAATATTTTATTACTTTTTTTTAAATAAACAACATGCTCCACAAATACCGAGAACCATCATTACAGCAAAAACAATTTTATAACATCTTGTTTTCAATTGAAGAATGAATCAGTGAAAACAATATAGCTTAAATATAACTCAGTGCAAAGAGCCATTCAAGGAAGGGAATCTTCAGTTTGAGGTTCTTCACAGTTCAGTGACTATTTCCTGGTGTAACAGCTGCTCTCATTGTAAACAGCCTTCGGGTACCCACAGTATGCGAGGAATATGAAGGAGCATTCATCCAGGCCAGTGCTGATGTTTGTATTATTCTTAACAAACAACTCACAAACTGTAAACGCAAAAAAAAAGAAAATCAGATGTTAATAGCCAAAGATTTGAGGTTGCGAGGAGAATGCGCAAAATTACATCTCCAAGAGGTTCGCAATAAGGATGAAGTTTTACAACCGTTATAGCTCCCTTTTATGTAAGTATTGACATGATAGTTGAGAACTATTTTGTTGTCTTACTTCATAACATAAATCTGTTTCAGGATGACACGATCGAACAAAGGTGCAAATGGGTAATAGATAAGAATAACGAGAGATGATTCTTTATTTATTTAGCTTAATATTGTACTTTGGCACACCTCCATAAACTAGGCAACTGTTCTGCATGAGAAGGTGGTTTGCTTCATTGCACCTGGAATAACATCTTGCAAAATCTTACAAGTAATAAAGATAAGATTTTCCAACCGTTATGGCCCCCCTCAACTTGTATACCTTGTTTCAGCTTAAATCCAGACACAGCCGACGCTACAAGATGATAGGCCAAATCAAGCAGCATCACACGCGCAAGTCATTGGGCCTTTTCTGTTTGATTGGTTCAGCAACGATAAAACACATCAGAAACATGTGGTACACCATTAATTTGAGGTTTTGATTGTCTGATTGGTCCAATCAGCTGATAGTGTCGGCGTTCTATGTACTTAGTGGAACGAAGGATAGTTAATTGACAGGTTTGAAAGTAAACCCCGTTTATTTACTTTATACACTTCAATTCTACTGAAGATTACACAATCGGCGCTAATAAGATATTGTTCAAATTGGAACGTGACGCTTTTCTTAGTTAATACACTAAAACTTATATTAGCACGCATGCACCAATTAGGTACTTGTCGTATAGAAAGACACATAATTTGTTGACATTGAACAAAACAAAATAGTGAGTTCAGGATTAGGCGTAGGAACATCTAGATAGGGAAAAATAACTTTCCGCAAGGTTCGCTTCTCTCGATTTGTGATGTTACGCACAACATGGACACACCACGCGTAATTAGCAAATGTTCATACAGTGCATTTGGAAACGCATATCAATATTTACGCAATGAAAACACTTACAGGAAGCCTGCTTTTCGTTGTTTCCGTTGTTGACTGTTTTTAGAACGAAGCAGTTCTTGAAATCGGACACGAGCACCCGTCGTACTCTCCTGTGGTTAGGGTATGGACCCGCTAAAGAACAGGACACAGATAGGAATATTTTATGATGTCTATACGGAACACAGCAAATGCATAATTCATTAGCGGTTCGAGAAAACTTTTTAGTCTCCTCTCAGCAAAATACTTGTTTGATTGCTGAAATAATTCTAGACTGGGTCAATGGGAATTCCGGATAAAGCAAAGCGCGGGGCGAGCAGTTATTTAAGGCAATGTTAGTACTTCTAGGAGCGTGGACTTTCACATCTTTCTTTTGTTAGTATTTCTGGGAACGTGGGCTTTCACATCTTTCTTTAGCGGACCAAGTTACATTGTTCCTTTTAGAGTTAGTAGAGCGGGTTGTGGGGTTTGATTTTCCTTACCCGCCATGTAGTGTGACGAAGCGTACTGAGCAAGCAATATGTAATCCTTTAAAGACGGCCAATATTGACCGTTGCAAGCTGAAATCCGGCACTTTTCAGGCACACTTTCTACATCTCCTAAATAACAAAGTCGTGGTGCTGAAATTTACACGTAAACAAAAGCAGGCCAACGTGAGGTGTAGATTTGCAACGAGGGCAGGAGGGGGGCGTCCGTATTCTCCATACATGGAGCGAAGTGTACGGGAAGTAGGCCTGGCCTAGAAATGTCCCTTCAATCTCTTGAGTATTCAGTCTACCCTTTTCCAATGTCATTTATCTTTTACTTAGTTCACCAAATTTTGTAACAGTCTCGAAAATTCTTACCGTGATTAGGATACTCAGTTTACGGACGCCGCCATAAAAATATGGGGCAAACATCCGCGTCGCCATGGCATTGTCGTGGCAACGGGGTTGTTTGCCCCATATATTGTTATGGCGGCGTTTAATGAATCGGTGTTAAACATGCGTGATTCACGGCCCAACACTTGCCTGGAAAAATTGAAGGTCGGCGTGTAGCGTACGTTATCGCCACTCTGCCGGGCGCGTCGTCTAGAGCGAGCCGTCATTGCGCGGCTTTGAAAAGCGACCGTGTCAGTCGTCGTACACACGAACGCGATCAATGGCACCGTGGGTTGAGAAAGCCGTGCAAGCCCTGCTTCCAGAAGGTGTTTGTTTCACTCCGCCGAGATGACAATGCGGGTTTGCATCGAAGCTTGCTTTGGTGCGCCGATCAAATGGAAAGCCAGCTGCGACAGCGAGCAGACGAAGCAGACCGCAGGCACGGAGCAGACGTAGACTAAACCTAAAGCAGGAAACACATGAGCGACAAAAACGTGTGCCGCGCGGCAGTTTCTATGGTAACTTCCGCGCACGCTGTGACGTTGCGGCTTAGCATAGGACCACGTCACAGCGTCCTGGGCTGCTACTATGAGAATCTGAGCCCGGCGCCCGTTTTTGCCGCTCATGTGTTTCCTGCTTAACGCTGCCTGGCGAGCGGCAAGCAGGCGATGGAAGCTTGGATGCTAGCAACGTTACTGGATCGGCTAAGTTGACAAGCTCCAAAAAAAGGTACGCGCCGCCATTCACTGCCGAGTAGCGGTACTGTGGTTGCAGCCCGCCCGACTCGCTTGGTATGACGCCTTGGTGCCTTTGGATACACCATGAAACACATCGGCTTTGCGTGGGTTCTCAAAGTGTATTACCAGCGACTGTTGCCAGTGTAATAATGTCGTGTTTGAGACATTTCCCAAGATTTTTGAGGTAAAGTCACGCTCGCCGGGCCTTCGTTGTTTTGCCAGTCTTCGACATAATGCACCAAGGCTAAGAAGCTCGAAGAAATGGCTGCGTTTGGCATGATTTTCGGCACATGGACCTCTGCGTATTGCTTGTTTGCCGACTTCTGGTTTCCTGTGTTCGTGTCAGAAGTTAAAGCATAAACTGCTGCGTACATCCCATAGACCCATTAATAAAGACATCCAATTTGAAGAAGTCTTCGTCATTTGAAGGAGGCGTGCTGTTTTTGTTTTTGTATTCGGCTACGCTGAGGCCTACTACTAGAACATCTGAGGTGGTGAAAACGGCTGAGTTATTCCTCGCGTGTGTTATTTACGTGTGTGACAACCTCCGTCCCGTGTATGTCAAACGTCCCCGAGATGGCACATTTCGGAGATGTGTGTCTAAGGGGTAAGATTTTCAAGACATCACTTTTGATCACCTGATCGGCGCTGATTAGTGTGTGTATACTTTAAAGATATAGGTGTTGACGTGCGGTATATATTAGAGCGTAGATATTAGAGCCGTTATTTCTACAGTACAAGATACAGGTTCGTGGCAACAGTGTACGATTTGTGTGACGTCACACAAATCGTACACTGTTGCTGCGAACACATAGACTTTGGTTGTCTATGTCAAACGAGTTCGTTTGTGCATGCAGATATGCTCCAGTGCCCAGCAACATGCTTGTTGACTTGTCTTTATGAGCGCGTCAATTTAAATTCGCTCTTTATTTTACCTACACTTTACTTAAAGGCAAAATTGTGCTTAAAATAAATGCATGATAATGTTGTTTTATTGATGTCATGACGCTTGTGCGAGCTATTTCAAACCAAAATAAAGACGTTTTAGCTACAACACGTTCAGCCCCTGAGAATGCGACATAGCAAGGCCGGGGGTGCAAAGACCACTGCGAAAACGTTCCTGCCCAACTGTATTGTTGTAACGCAAATGCATTTCTACACGAGAGACACCAATCGAAAGTTAGAAATGACGGAGAAGGTGGCAGCAGCAAACTAGACAACCCAGCTCTTGTGATCACCAACTATACGGGTATTTTGAGCCTTGGTATTTTGAATTCTGCTCGTGATTTTCTCATGTAAAAAGAAATATACGCCGCACTGTATTTGTCTACACTTTGAACTCTTCCAAAGATTTGCTTTGGCAACAAATAAGAAGTAGAAAATGTATTTGGTTCATTTTTCTGTGACAAAAATGTGGGAGCGTTGATCGAGAACTCCCGCGCTGACAGTGCATGCGAGCTCCTGGTTGTGTATACTGGTCATAGACGAATATGAGAGACATCAACTATAAGATGTAGTAGCGTAGAAGACGAGAAAAACTCCAGACATAGGACCGTGCTGGGCTCACGTGAATCGAGGGATTCGGATCCTGGCGCGTATGAAGAACGGTCTTCGCAGTGCAGTTCTCGGGCCCAAAGTAAAGTGCATTTATCCTGCCCTACGGGTCCGTGTCCACTCCGCTACAAATTGGCGACGAGGATTCCTGGAGAATTCCTGGAGACCGGCTCAAGATGATGAATGCCTCGGGCGAGACATCGCAGCGAGCAACATCGAACGTCTTCCGGTTCATGGGACCAGGACCATTCGACCCGGAAAAAGAGGATTGGAACTTATACCAAATAAGGTTCCAAGCATCTCTGGACATCGCCGGAACAACAGATGATGCCACAAAAAGGAACTTTCTGAGTGCATCTCCGGGGTCCGAGACGTTCAAGCTGCTGCACTCTCTGGTTCAGCCGAGGCAGGTCAGTGAAGTTCCGTATGCGGAATTGATAAAAACGCTAGACACTAATTTTTCGCCGAAGCGTTTCAAGGAGTTTGAACGAGCGAAGCTGGTTTCAACACGCCAGGAGAAACGTGAGACACCAACCGAATTCCTAGCACGCCTACGATGAGTCATTTGCAACTGCGAGTATGAGAACGAAGTCAATGCTCGGGAATGTTCGTTGCTCACTGCTTTCATAATCGGACTTCGAGATCAACGCTTGAGGGCACGTCTCGTCCAAGAGAAAGAGTTGTCGACCGATATTGCACTAAGATTGTCGGAAAGTTTTCTTCGAGCGGAAGAAGAGTCCCGTCAATTGAGAAGTGTCGCAGAATCACCCATCGCAGTCAGCGAGGTGAGAGATCTACACAGGTCTCCTAGACAATGTTTCCGTTGCGGCAATACAAACCATGTCGAAGGCAAGTGCCGGTTCAAGTCTGAAGATTGCAGATCTTGTGGAACCAAAGGACACATTGCCAAGATGTGCAGGAAAGGACAGTCTGGCAAATCCCGATCAACCAGGAAAGGGACGGTGCAAGTAATCACCAGGGTTCAGTCCGTTTTCGATCGAGATGGCAAGTTTCTGGAATGTCAGATTGAAGGCAAGCGCGTGGAACTCCAAATAGACACGGGTTTACAAGTCACCTTACTGGACATTCAGACTTGGCATCGCCTCGGAAAACCGAAGCTGAACGAAACTCCGTACAAACTGCAAAGTTTCAGCAAGGAGGTCATTAAGGTCAAGGGCCAATGTGAGCTTCAGGTTGAATTTGAAGGCAAGAAGTACAGTCTAGAGGCTATTTTTACTAACACAAGCCAAGTCAACTTGTTGGGGAGTGTTAAGTTTGAAAAAATCCTGCTTATTAGTTAAGGTGATTTTTGTTAGAAAAGTTTATCTTTCCAGAGTTGCGTCGGCATTGTTTTCTTTAGCTTTCTATGTTTGTGTCGGCGGGGCCAGAGCGGCCGCGTCGCGGGAGCGGTTCCCCCCGCGGTCGTTAAGAAGCGTCTCGGGTTTCGGAAGCCTGCTCGGACCGGGAGCGGGACAGCCCGCGCCTGGAGAAGCGTGTAGCTTTTAGCCGAATGTGCCTGTACATAGAGGGTTTTGCCGCTTAGTATCAAATTGTCGCTTTTTACCGGAGGTAATAATTTAGCTGTTGGCGCCAGCCCGTCTGCTTAAAATGCAGGAGTTGATTCTAGAAAGAATTTGGATTTGGCCGTTGGAAGTGCTAGGCTGACAGCTTGTCGACCATTGGAGAACAGTGTACAACGTGGGAGTGGTGAAATTTGAAGGGATTGGTTGGACCCTGAGGGGAAAGGAGGCCCCTACGAGGCTACAAAAGGATCCCCGAAGGGGATTCTGAGGATTGGCTTCGATTCGATTTTGGGAGACTGGGAACAAAAGTACGGGGTTTAATTTTGGGATTTTCACTCACTGTTGAGTTGTTTTGTTTCATAATAAACGTGGCCACACTGGCCACCGTAAAGTCAACCAACGTCGCAATGTGTTCAGCGGGATCGAACAACTTTTAGTATTTTTTTTATTATCAACTTCCC